TGTGGGGACTCTCCATAGGCGTAATGGTTTTTCTACTGAACAGACTGTATATTCTATCGCCCTACACCAACCCTACCCCTAAAAGGAAACTTTCTGCATTTTTAGATTTTCAAAAAACTTCATTCTGTGTGATTTATAAGCTTTTGTACCCGTGGGGAACACAATTTAGGTCCCCACCGTGACACGAGCCCCCATGAGTCTGTTTGTAGTCAGGTTTAAGTCCCCACCAGGATATATAAACCTGTACACACACACACACACACACACACACACACACACACACACACACACACACACGTCTCTTCTTCAACAGCATTAGCATCTGTATCAGTGTTACTATTATCCTATGGGTTTCCGTTGCAAATCGAGTCTTCAGCCAAGAGAGATTTGTGCTCGACCTCTAGCCATCATCCTATAGTTTATTCTAATGAATATTCTATAGGTGAACCCTAGGACAAGGAAGTATACGCAAATCAATCTGGAACATAAAATATATGTCATCACACTATAGAGAACTGCCATTTCTTTCTGTATGATGTGATGATGCTAAATGTGTCGTCCTAAAACTTCAAAATAATATTTAGAGGTACATTTAGGACGACTTTGAGGTATACTGGCAGATACTTGTGGGAATTAAAAAACCTCTTGTTCTCAAATAAATACTTAATCTTAGCAGGTTGATATTTGACATTATGACAAATACAAAACATGAATGCATACTGCATTGCAGATATATCTTTATTTAAATACTAACAAAGATCATTTGGATTTGCATTTTTGCACTACATATAAAATAGCAAATAAAACAATATCGTGAATATTTCATTCAGATCAAAAAAAAAAGAAAAAAAAGTGGACTTTCATAGTAAACTTACAATTTACAGCTCTAAAGGCATTGAACAGAAAATTTATGAAATTTATAATGGAGCCATTTGACATGGGGCAACCGGTCCACCACGTCTCAAGAGATTCCATCTGGACACTGGCTAGACAGAGTGACCTTCCTAATGAGCCCTTGCTCCCCATCGTAACCCCGCCACGCTCCTGTAAGGAACAGGGGACAGTGAACTGCCCCTCCGCAGTCAGATTCCCAGTGACGTTACGTTTTATTAGACTTAAAACCAAAATAATTATTTTCACGGGATTGGTCGAGAAACCCACGGCTGGGATTGAAATCGGCCACCAATGCCGCTGTTGATGGATCATCTGATTTTTGACCTTTTGAAGGGTGGAGGGGCTCCTGTATGGGTGTGGTGTTGATTTAGAGTCCGTTAGCCTCCATGAAGTGTGGAGATAAAGACAACATTATCCTGGTCCTGAAGCTGGTACTCCAGTTCACCCTGCAAAGGGACATGGATGTGTACACCAAAGAAAATGAGAATAAAATAACATTTTTGAAAAATATCTACATTTAAGAACTGATGTATACACCAATAAAAAAAAAAGTATATATTTAATGCAAATTGTAGAAAACACTAGAAAAAGAAAATGAGAATAAAATAACATTTTTGAAAAATATCTACATTTAAGAACTGATGTATACACCAATAAAAAAAAAAAGTATATATTTAATGCAAATTGTAGAAAACACTAGGAGTCAGAGCTTTAAATCGACACGTGATTTGCAGGTTTTAGCCATCATTGACAGTGGTTGAGACATTGACTTTTTCCCATTGATTGTGTTTCTTTAAATTACACCTTGATGCCAATACATGTTTTTCTGAAAGAGCAACCCAGCACAACCTTTATGTACATTAGATGAATGAAGAGAAGCTGACACTGGACCTAAAATGAGCATGTCATTAAAACAGAGAGTGGAAGGAGTGATTGAGGAACTGTACACACACACACACACAGACACAGACACACACACACACTCTCTCTCTCCCTTACCATCAGTTCCCAGTCTGCGTCGTTGATCAATACGAGAATCCCGGGTCTACTGTGTGCGTAAAAAAGAAGAGCTCATGTAAGTGATGTGAGCTACACTGAAAACATCTGATAATATAATGCAGCCTGTTTATACACAATGAAAATCGCCAGTGCTGCGGTTTTCTAAGACCCTTGCATCTGCAGTTCATTAAATGAATGAGCTTCCCTTGTACCAGCATACATGTGCAAGATGAAACACAATAAAGACTACGCATAGAACATCCTCTCACACAGATTAGCACAATATTTATAATTACAGGAATCAATGCAATATAACACAACACAGCTTTATATACAATATATCACCATAACATCACTTTGGATTTAGCTTTATGTGTCCATTTATGCCTGCCTACTCAGATGCTGCAAAAAAAGTTTTTTTTAATAATAATAATAATAAAAGAAATTTTAAATTCAATTGTTTTGTATTTTATTTTAGATTTGAAGTACGAGGTGCTAATGTAGGTTGTTGGGTGGCCCCTCATGGCTAAACAGTCGACGGTACGGTTTATACACCACTGAAGACTACACTGTGTACCAGAGGCGTACTGCAGTTATCCACAGCTGATTTCATGCTACAGTTACGTCAGGGCAAGAATAAAGGTCATTTATGATGAAAAAACCTGCTGAAGAATGCAAAAGCATAATTTTGGGGATAAACTAATTGTATCAGAATTACAAAAAATAAAAATCCACCCACTGTTTAGTATGAGCTGAGGAAAGCAAGACTGTAGGACTGTAGTAACCATACTAATTCTGAGCACACCACACACACGTATAAATAAACATTTTGTATACCTTTACTAATGCAACTGAAGCATTAAAAAAATATTTTATCACTGGCCAAACATATACGTGTTGCACCAGGGAGCGTGGTGTGATTCTGCCTCCTTGACCTCACTGCGATTCTGCAGTGAACGCGAAGCACTGCATTTATTACGAGTGTGTGTCTACAGCACACAGTATGTTTGCCTGAGCATCATCCTGCATCGGTAACATATTTACTGTGCGTCTGCGTGTGTACTTACACAGTGTCGCCCTGCATAAAGAGCTCTGGGCGCTCCTTCAGCATGTTCCCTCGGATCCATGCAAGCAGCTGCTTCATGTCCCCTGTAAGATTACCACAGAGGTCAAAGGTCAGAGTTCAGTGAGCCAGCCCCACGGTCGATGTGACGCGACAAAGCCTCGACTGCAAGGTGGAGGGGAGATTTGAAGGAGGTATATCACGAATAGACTCGCCCAATGTCATTTTTTAATGCGCCATTGAAAATATAGCAGTGATGCGGTTTAAATTCAGATTCGTAAACAGAGACGCCATTGACTTGCCGTATCAGCCAGACCAAGTAAATGTGACTGGAATAGGTAGGTTATAAGGAGAGTGCTGAATAGCCATATATCTTGTGTGTGTGTGTGGGTGGGGGGGTCATGGTGATGATTGATGGATATAAACCCAGCGCTCCAATGTGAATTCAAATGAAAACAAAATATGCTAGAAAGCCGACCATTGTAAGCCTATGATAAACAAAAAAAAAAAAGTCTTGTAAATATCTGCGTGAATTTTTTTTTGATTTTTACACAATTTACTTTAGCCATGCAAATATTATCCAATCAAAGCTACTGGTTGTTATACAAGTGAAGGGTATTAAAGCTTGGCCTTCAAGATGTGTGTTGTGTGTTCTGTGATAAATTTAGCATGTGATGATGGATGATAATTGTTTGATATTTGTACGTGCGTGTAAGCAATGAAATTCCGCTGCCCAACATGGCGGACAAGTCGGTATGTCCAACATCAACATTGTATCATCAGCATCCATTTCTGGAACGTACCAGTTTACTGCTCAGAGGGGTGATGGAGACAAAGACAGAGAAAGAGTGAGGAAGAGGGGGGGAGAAAAAGGGAAAAGAGAGAGATTGAGATGTTTTCATTTGATCTGGGGAGGAGTTTGCATTTATTGTTTGTGAGTTTGCTGTGGCTGACATTGATAAGGCTGGGCACGCAAATTGTGCACTTAGCGTATTTTGTATTCTTGAACATCGCTAGTTCGCCTGTATGAAAGGCCATTACATTTATTGGAAATGTGACATCAGAGAAGGAGTTTTGAAAAACATCAAAAATAGCTACCGCACTGCCCACCCTATCCGGACACATGCATGGACTCACCTGCATAACTCCATACTGCTGCTGATCCCTGTTCTGCAATATAATCCTGTGCAAATGTTTAATCGTTGTGTGAATAAACATCCACAACATTTATAACTCACCTGAACCTTTGGAAATCAATAGGATGAAAATTAAACCACAAGGCTTTAATGCAATTTCGTTTGATATAATCCTAGGACATATTTGAAGGGGAATTACAGGATAGCCGGCAATGTCTGTGTAGGTGTTCTTATGTGTGTCAGCATATATCTCGGCTGTAAATCCCATAAGGAAAGATTTTTTTTTTCAAAGGTCGTCCATTAACAAAGGCGGTTGGCAACATTTAACACTGAACACCATCTTCTCACACTCTTGAGCAGCAGGGATGAACATACAAGGTCTCAGGTGGGAAATGGTGACTAGAACCAGAGAATCTGTGAAGGGGGGCTGGGAAACCCTTGATAAGTTTGAGGAGACATGATGACCAGTAGACGTAGTCGCTTGCGGCATTGTGCTACAACTAACTGGCTATGGAAGATTGTATAATTAGACTAGGACAAATTAGCAAGAGGACGAAAGAAGGGGGCAATGGGTGCAGGAGTGTGGCTCTATACAATACTCTCGACTGGGCAAGTTTCCACCAGAACTGAACATTTCAGAGATGTCAGCACCAATGCGTGCAAGTGTATGCGCTTGTAAGCGTGTGGCGTGCTTCTCAGCGAGAGGCAGGGGTCGAGCAACAGCGGCCGTTTCAGGTTAATTGGATCGCTGTCAGCCTCTTCAGTTGTGTAACGATTGTTGTACCTTGCAGCTCGGCTAGACCACAATCCTGAACCTATAAAGAAGAGTGATGCTTGCATCAGTGCTACGCTACCACAATGAATATTGACTGGCACCAAAAGCAGGGGAAAAAAACAGACGTAATCACTTTCAGCCACATCAGTCTATTGACTGAGGGAACTTCAAAAAAACGAAGCAAACGTCTCCTGCTTCGTTTTCACGTACAAAGGGTGGTTTATGTGAGCCAGGGGCAAAGAGTGAGGGGTCAACAAGACGCCCCACGTCTCTTTCGCCCTCTTTTCTGTAGGGGTAAGGAACAAATGGAAGACGAAAAGGACTGGATAGGTTTGCGATGAGGTAGGAGGAGAACGAGGGAAAACACGAATGGGAGGGGGAGTATGCGTCACTACAGACAGGTGCATGCTGGGATAAAGCATGCGTGGGAGGGTGGCGGCGTCTGCGTAGCATAGTGGCTAGCTAACCCTCTTCGTTTCCTTTCTCTTTGCATGACTATCATCATTATCGCCAATATCTGTGGGTGGGAGGGAATGAAGTCATTCATCTTGCTTGGGATATGAGGGTTGGTGTTTCTATGACGATCATGTGTGTGTGTGTCCGGCAGCGGGGGGCTCAGCACTACTCATCAATCACTTAGAAGGGTCTGGACCAGTGGACAGAAAATTTAGGAGGGATTAGTGTAGAGCATCAGTGTCAGCCTAAGCAATCATAGCCAGCCATCCATGAAATTCTCAAATCATGCCTACAAACATGCGTACGGACTATGGGCTAAGGTCATCCCCCCCAGGCCCCTGCGAGGGCTCAGTGGTCACATTCCCTCCCGCCGCCCACTTTTGTGGACAGGTTGTCGTGGATACTCTGGTGCCACAGAGCTTGACCCTTCTCTTGTTTGGCAAGGCCACCAAAGTACAAGCATATCCAAATTTTCCCAACCTCAGAGCTGTGACAGGGATGCAAAAATATTAATATACTTGGCCAAAAGTTCTATTCCTGTTCAATACATCTCAGACCCCAAGTGAAAGACTAAGGCCACTGTACAGGCAGGAAAGGTGACTGGCTATAAATACAAAGCACCACTACTTGGCTACCACAAAAATCTCAACAAATCCTAGTAGTTTCTGAACATCTGCGCCAAAAAGATTCTCCCACTACACAACTAGGTCATCCTTGAGTTACCAAGTTGACCTTGCAGAACTATGTCCGAAAAAAAGAAAGGTTCTATAACCCAGTAACTAAATATGTGTGGAAACTGACCCACATGATAATCTCAAAGAAAGATTATACTGTATCATAACTATTGACACAGTGATTAGGCAGCTGAAATTTGGGAATCTCCTCCCTGCTCTCTAGATATCGCCACCATCTACTGATCAAAAATGCCATCTACAATTCTTTCAGGCACTTCTGAGCATGTGCATGGGATATAAGGTCTCACTTCCCTAATCCATCTTTTGCACTAATGACTCTCAAAATGACTTGCCTTCCAATCCAGCGATGGCAGAGAACATGTTACCCACTCTGTGCTTAAATACAGGGGGCAATACAAGTGCTCCCCCCACAACCAAACATCCCACCACTTTCACCCAAATGTCCCACCAGGAAGCTGCAGGAATGTGAGGTGTTTGTAGGAGAGAGGCATTTGTACTGTCAGGCATCCCAAAAAATGACTGCACAAAAAAGGACTTAGTGCTTTGTAACAATTGTCACTCCCTCCTTTACTGGCCCTCCATTCTCCATACCTTTCCTGTGACCCCAGCACTAGGCATAAAAGATCCATCAACAGTATCACTGGCTGCATTTACAAGTGAAAGGGGCCCAATAATGGAGCAGTTAGGGGAAGAATGGCTGGGTGCAGGGAGGCTCACAGATGTTGGTGGTTGAGGGGGAGGTGGGATGTATGGAGAAGGGGCTCAGCTCCATTGTTGCTGAGGGAGGGGTGGAAAAAAACTCGATTTGTGATGGCAGCCCGGCACTGGTTCGCCATTGGCCCGATGTCAGGGTGAAAGCAGGACTGGCTAGAAGAAAAGGTGTCCAGGGAAGCGTGTGAACCAGGGCTCTGAGAGGTCAGGGGAGGAAAGGCGGCGAGTGGGAAAAGGGCATCAGGCAGAGGGAAGGCAGAAAAAAAAGAGATCGATGTGGAGAAAGAGGCACATAATTTGGTATGATTTGTGTGACTTTCTTCTATTGGAGTACCAGAGAAAAAAGGCATCCTTTAGTTCCAGCAGGGCATAAGGCCAATAAGTGAATCCAGATATTTGGAGCCAATTAAGTCATCAGTGCTAGGAATGGTAAAGCACTGGCTTTGTATAGAAAAAGAGCTAAACATTTGAAGTCTGAAAGAAGTCTCTCAATATTTCCCAAATTAATTACTGTGGAATTAACCACAGTAATTAAAAAAGATTTTCACATTTTCTGAAGACATCTTGAGTGGCATTTGCCTCTGCAAAACTGGCACAACAGTACAGTGTTATGGTACAATGCTGTGTGGTTGCTGGGGTGTTCTGGATGGTATCTAGAGCATTGCTTGGTGGTTACCTTCCTGTCCTCAACAAGCCAAATGATTGGAGGCATGTCACTAATACAAATGGTGCAGGATAGGTTGCATACGTAAGGTTAAATGGAAAGTTCACCCAAAAATGAAATTCTGTAATTTCCAAACATGTTTGACTTTTGTTTTTCTATGGAACAAAAATAAAGGTATTTTGATAAAGGTCTCTGTGTTTTTGTCCATACAATATTTTGGACCCCATTGACATTCATTATATGGACAACAACAGCTGAATCATTCCAATAAATATAAGTCATACAAAATATAAATATAAGTCATACAAAAAGTTCTGGAACAACATTAAAGAATGTAAATGATGACAATTTTTTGGGTGAATTGTGTATTTTAATACTTAGTTAGGGGTTTGTTATAATTATAAATTATAGTAACAGTGATACTAGCATTAGCAAACTCAAAAGAATGAACACAACAGAAGAGGTATATATATATATATATATATATATATATATATTTTTTTTTTAAATACTCACAGGGATCTGATTGGCCAGGGAGTGTCACATGATGATTCTTGACCCCATCAAAGAGAAGTTCAGCTCCCCCTCTAAAACAGGAAAAAATACAGTGCACATAATGCTGTTATTGCCTTTTACAGGTAGACCTTCAACAACAATAATGTTCAGTGAATGTTCTCCTAGTTCTAAAATCATTTAGCAGTATCCGCCATGCAGTTTTAATTGACTTAAGATCTAGTCTATGACAAAACGCCCCCAGAAAACTGTTTCTTGTCCTTAATATTTTGACATTAGATGTCACTAATGTAAAAAAAAAAAAATTAGATTTTATGATTTTAAGCAAGACGGAATAGCACTCTTGAAGAGCACCAGGTTGCATAGAGGGCATCAACACTGTACTTTCTTCAACAACAACAAAAATACCCCATACAAAACTTACATTATAACTTGCATAAACACATAAAAGAAGATGTGAGGACCAACATGTTTATCACAAAGATGACAAAATCACAATATGCATTTAAGCAACATTTAAGTAATCAAGCAGCATTTAATAAATGCAACTCAGTAAGTGACAGAGATCCGTGCAAGAACGAGAGAAGGTGCATGTCAGTGGAAAAAAACAAAACAGATAGGGACATGAAGTCAGAGTAGGACTCATGTAGCAGGTGCAGGCCCAATAAAGAGAGCTCACATCTCTTGGAGAATGCCCAGTTGTCCTCCAGATCGCCAGGCCTGGCGAGATGCCCGTACTCTAGCGGTACAGAGAGAAGCCAGCCTGTGTGCCAGCCTCAGAAAGGCCACTCACAAACACCACCTCTGTCCATAGACAGTCACACAGGACTCTGTTGCGACTTGAAAGCAGCGAGCCAAATGCACAATTTTTCTGCACCCAGTGAATTCTGGCCAAGATTTGTTTTGAGAAGCTGTCTCTCTTTCTGTCCCTCTGATACCATCTATGTTCTCTGTCGCTCTATGGTTATGTTCAGAACTGCATATAACACTTATTATTTCTGCAACTTTTCTGTATGCATGGAATAACCTGATGGCCTAGTACATTTGTCAAAATGTGCGGTATACAAAAAATGGCAGTATGTGGGCAACGGTATACTGTATTCCACAATACAACGTGCTCAACACATCTTTCTGACCGATTACGTGACAATGTTGCTGCGCGTCTGAGTTAAAACATTTGAACACAATTTAATTTAAAAAGCAACACAACTAGGATCATTTACAAGATTATAACTGAACAGCATTTGCTGAACTGGACAATGAAGTGAGGACAATCGCAAACTATTGTTTGAAATGCACTGTTGGATAACCTGTACTGTTTCATGTTCTGTCAGTATTCAGTGTATACTGGAAAGCATGCATTCTGTTCCAAACACAGCCTATATTTCTCCTCAGAAATTCAGAAAACTGTCCAGAGTTTGCGCTGTGGTTAAGCGGTTAGCACACATGATGTGACATAGGGAGTTGTGTTTCTTATATGATTCAAATCCAGCTGACAAACTTTCCAAATTCCATTCGTCTTAAAAATTACGAGAAGCTATAAAGCCAGGAAATTATTTGATTTGTTTAATCAGTATTACTTTGTTTAACCCCCTACAAAGTTTATGCATGCATTTGATATATTATTAATAAGCATGCTTCAGTCTGTAAGGACTTACAGTTGTGCTTAAGTTAGCCTATAAATGTCTGTTAATGATTAAATGCAATAAAGAAATAAAATCTCCCTCCCTCTGCTATGTTACCCATAAAAGTTAGTAGTACGCATTTCCTCATGAGCTGAAATGTCAAAACGTTCAGTTAGCAGCTATTATCATAAATTTGACTTCTGACATACAGTATCAATTTCTTAAGCACAGTTAACAAAAAACAAAGTGTGCCTCGAAGCTTTTTCTGACCTGAGGGAAAACTCTGGCTGATATTTCTCTCAGTGTAGTATTGAAATATCCCCTTCATTGATGTAACCACTGCTCCGGGTTGTAAACATCCGGGCACCTCATTTCTATTCAAGTGAAAGTTTCTCCAACCGAGTGCACGCCGACGTCGATTAATAACTTGTTTATTTTCAGTGCGTGAAGCAGTTAATTAAGCTAGCCAGATTCAAGTGTCACCGCGCGCTGCTTCAAGAAAATAACTAACATGAATTTCATTTTTATTGGGTTACTTTTTCATTGAAATCGGGGTTTCTTGTCATTACTGCCGTTAAACCGCTGAAAAACAGCAGTCTTATTAGCCAAGTGCCTCTGATAAAGGTTCAGTCGAAGACTTTTAATTCAGTACGTCTATTAATGCAACCACTAGAATGCGAGGAATCATAAAAAAGCGATTAATACAAACCCAAACTCCAGCTGCAGACCTAAGGGCGCTGCCATGTTGCTGCAAACCCCGGAAATAATCCCATCTTCACCGGAAATGACATCTAGAGGGCGTGTCTGTGTGTTGACTCAAGCAAGCTTTGGTTCTTCTTTGGATATTTGCTCTAAACAAAATTCATTATAAATAACTGAAAGGGGTTTTGATTGAAAGTTTACCTTCTAAGAATAATCTCAAATATGTGTATAATTGATATTAATATTAAATTACAAAACATTTCGGGTACTATATATACTTTACTTTTACTTTACGTTTAGTCATTTAGCAGATGCTTTTATCTAAAGCGACTTACAAATAAGAAAAAGTAATTAAAACTAAAAGCTAAAACTCTATAAATACTATATATACACACATTTACGAAAATAAAAGAAATTAAATAAAAATGACAAATGCATTTCAAAACTAAAACATTTAAATGAAAACAAAAAAAATACAGCTAAAAACAATTCAAAATATTAAAAGAACAAAAGGTATGAGTTTAATAATGATTCTAACACCAATACTTAGGACCATGTGATATTTCAGTTTTTCTTTTTTAATAAATCTGCAAAAATGTCAACAATTCTGTGTTTTTCTGTCAATATGGGGTGCTGTGTGTACATTAATGAGGGAAAAAATTAACTTAAATGATTTTAGCAAATGGCTGCAATATAACAAAGAGGGAAAAATTTAAGGGGGTCTGGAGACTTTCCGTACCCACTGTATGTATATGTGTGTGTGTGTGTGTGTGTGTGTGTGTGTGTGTGATGTATGTATGAGTTTATGAGTTGTTTTGTTTTTCATAATTGTTTTACTGATCAAATTCTGCTCAAAAGGCTCTTTAATGGCAGGCTCCAAAGTGACAATTTGCCTGATATAGTGTAACAATGCTTGCTAGTCCAGCTATTATATTTCTGATTATAATGCTTAATGTTTCCATAATGTTTAAAATTTCCGTCCGTCTCCTCAAGAAAGCGTGTCATGTATGGTGGAGTGTTGTGCGGGTCCCCCACCCCCTCGGCCTCTGTCATACTGGTGACAGGTCTGTCCCGACCAGGAGCAGATTGAATTGCAAATCTCCTGCCTTCTGTTGGTGTCCGAGGCTGAACTGGCCCTTTGCAGCCGGCCATTCATGTGGTAATGTGAAGTCTGAGGGGCAAGGGGGGCCCTGGGGCCACAGAGAGTCACATGAGGGGACACTCCGGATTGACATCCAAAAACAAAATTATCACAATGAATTTGGACTATCACAGTGGTATGTGCACACTAAAACGATTTTTTTTTTTACATATAGCCATGATTAACCAAACGGATGAGATGCGTATACTTATCTTGGCTTCTGTTGTATTTTCTTTTAAAGTCGTTAACATTGCAGGTTGTACACGACTGACAGTAATATGAGTTCAGTGGTATGTGTGTGTGTGTGAATAAGTGTGTGTGTGTGTGTGTGTGTGGATGCGGCATGCGCTCTAGATTTAGATGACAAAGTGTTAAAGCGCCAAGACATGTAATCCAGTCACTTTACATGTACGTAGCTGTTCAGGGCATGACAGGCCGTGTTCCTGTGCGGTCACCAGCGGATCCACCTGTAAATAAATCAGCTTCCAAAGAAAGAGAACGAGTGAAAGATATTCTAACATACATAATGACAGCAAGCATTATACGTGACCAAAATAAGCTGGAAAAAAAGAGCTTTTCCCAGCTGCTTTAGCACAATTTGTGGCATTTTCAGAGCTGTAATATCAGCCCCAGAATCCTGTTGTGTTGAAAAACACTTCACGCACAAATAGCCCACAGGCACACAAAAAGCATTTTCACATGATTGAAAAACAAATAGAAAGTCACATACTATAATACTGCAGAATGACAGGTTCATGGTTTATGGTTTATGGGGACTCTCCATAGGTGTAATGGTTTTTCTACTGTACAGACTGTATTTTCTATTGCCCTACACCAACCCTACCCCTAAACCTACCCCTCACAGGAGACTTTCAGTATTTTTAGATTTTCAAAAAAACTCATTCTAAATTATTTATAAGCCTTTTGAATTACGGGGACACTGAAAATGTCCTCATAAATCTAATAATGAACTGCACTTATACAGCGTTTATTAATCTTTGTTAATGTTAATTTCAACATTTACTAATACATTATTAAAATCTTGTTAACATTAGTTAATGCACTGTGAACTAACATGAACATCTGTATTTTTATTAACTAACATTAGCGTAGATTAGTAAATACAGTAACAAATGTATTGCTCATGGTTAGTTCATGTTAGTTAATATATTAACTAATGTTTAACTAATGAACGTTATTGTAAAGTGTTACCATATATATTAATATAAAAATATATTTTAAATGTAAACATTGAATGTAAATATGCCATATACAACTTATTCAACTTTACATGCTTTTTAGTTACCAAAATCATTTTTTATGTTTATTTGTTAATAAAATATGTACTTATATTAATATTTAATAAATATATATAAATATATCATTTTATTTAATGAAATATATAGCATATACAACAGTATTCCCTGGTAAAGGTGATCAGCTTTTAGTTACCTATACCATTTTTTATTAAATATGGGTTTGTATCAATATTTAATAAAAAAATACATAAAAAATATCAAATTCAATATCCCCAGGTAAAGGGGATCAACATTTATCAGTTACCAAAATAAATGATACATTTTTGCACGAGTTTCAGTCATGTGCACATGAAATCTAATAACAAATCTTATTAATGTTTACAAAACCAAACAAATTTGCTCTTAATATATTATATAGTATTCCATATTCCAGCTTTGATAAGGTCCTGTTCTCTTGCAGAGCAGATTGTGTATGTGTGCTATTGTGTGACTTGTTGTTTGAGTTCACCAACCACAGCAGCCTTCAATAAAAGATTTTAATCTGCATTTCCCCAATATTTTGAGCACAGTGGCGTGTGACGGGCAGCTCGGCCGTGTCTTTGTGTGCTGAGCGGGCCTTCAGAGCCTGATGTCCCTGTGTCTCTGTCAGTGTGCCCGCTTTGCCAGCAGTGCCTGGTGGACCTTTCTCTGACTGACACAGCCGTGCGGGAGACATCACACACACACAAATGTTTGCGCATGCACACACAAACACACACTGAGAGATTGCATCATGGCATCTCTGCAGCCCCCTCCATAGCTACCATCTTGTCTTGGTGAAGTCACTTTAGCCTGACGCACTCGCAACTCAAAGCCAGCACGCATGCTCTGTGTCGCAGTGCATTCACAACTGCACCCACACACTCACAAATGGATAAAGCAAACTGTGTATTTCATCTTTGCACTTTGATTAACTTTGATGAATATATGCAAGTTCAGGTTAAAAGGTTACATTTGATTTGCTCAGTTTTGCAAGAAAATGAAAGACATTCACCAAGATAATCAACCTTGAATAGTTTATATTGAGTGATTCTACCACTACACTTGTGTGTGTCTACAACAAACAAACACACACACAGTGAAGTGTGTGGTATTGAGAAGGCTCAACGAGCTCGACGCTGCTGCCACCTTGTGGTCATATTGTAGAGCTACACTGTTTCAATTCTGTTCCGTTTGTGATCCTAAACCAGGAAGTGTACAATATACTAATCAAATATCGTTTTGTTTATTGAAAATAATATTGTTTAACCTGTTAAATGCAACTGGCCCACTGGTGAGCCCACTTGTTATTACTTGTTATAACATGTAACTTGACAAACTATATATCATTTGAAAGCTTAAAGACTCTAATTTTCATATTTGGTGACTGGCTTATTCATTTTACCGATATATTTAACAGAGCAACCGTAATTTATTAATTTGAGGCAAGAGCAGCCTACTCATCAGAGTCAGAGAGAGCGAGTTCTGACTTTTATTTTGAAATGTACATGTAAAATCGTGATAATTTGCATGCCAATTGTTCAAAAGATAACATCCATTCTATTTCTTGAGAAAAAAAAATGTCTGAAAGTGTTTACATAAGTGAATATAACTCCCCCATTCTCTGTGAGCTGTAATGCACATCCAGGGTTTCCACCACATAATATTTATGAAGTAGATTGTCTACTTCATAAATAATGTAAAAAGTATGGAAAACATATATTTCAGATCACTCAGACTATAAATGGAAATGGGGCGTCCTTATATGGTCACTAATGAAGCTTGAGTCATCAAGTGGAAAAGTTTGGTGTGCCCAAACAAAATCTTACTGAAAGATTTTATTTATTATTATTATTATTTTTGTTGTTGTTGAGATATCAACCTCAAATTTGGAACTTGTTCAGATTTTTGGTTTTGATATTCTAGCAGTTTTAGAGTTCAACCTGTTTTGTAAAAAAAGAAAAGAAAAATGTTTTATGTAAAATATTACAATTGATATTTTTGCATTTTATGTTTTCATAAACATAAACTTCCACAACTTTTTTGTGATTTCATTTGTATAACTTGTTTCACCTCTACAATAATCTGCCATTTGTCTTCTTTAAAAAGAGATCAAACTTAAGTGGAACCGACAGTTAACAGGTTAATAAATGATAATAGGCTATTATTAATAAACTGAATTAACCATTTTTAATTTTTAATTAGTATTCACTAACTGAATTCTGTTGTGCTTTGAACTGCTTGCTCGCTTTGGAACTATATCAACTATTTTAAAACTACAAATTAAGAAACAGGCAGTCTTCGATCTGAGTAATTTCACCTTAACACTGTAAATACATTTATCTAAAGTCATTCATAACACCTCAATATGTCATCAGGAGTCATGGGTATTAATTTTGTGTTGCCTGGTATAATTTTTTTTGACTCTCAAAGTCCTGGTACCTGCTGACTTGCATTTTATGAATCAACAAGCACCACATATGGTTTCAGGTAAAAATCTCAACAAGTCATCTACATCTTGGATGGCCTGAGGGTGAGCAAATTAACAGCAAATGTTCATTTTTGGGTGAACTAGTCCTTTAATCAGGTTAGATGACATACTGAATTTAAACGAGGACATGAATGAAAACGAGGCAGTGAGGAACTATGTC